GTCTGCCAAATTCTGCAGTGGGTACGGCGAAAGTACCAATAGGTACGGCGGCCGCCGTACCTCACCGTACCTTGGTTACGCCACTACCCGAATTCTCATTTCAAGTAAACGATATCTCGGTTCTTTTTGTGTTTTGTAGTAAACACCTGCGCCTAGGAGTTGACAGAGCCAGATTTTTTAATTGCTCATTTACTGATGTCTGGTGCTTAATAGATCTTTAAAAACAGAAAAATCCTCATTACTATAAAAACTGGAAGTATAATTTAAAAATCGGACTTTGTCAAGTCCTAGCTATAGATGTTATTTATAAATCGAAAAAAAACTATCTTTCTCCAATGTATCGTTAATGAGAACTACTGCACGTTGCGAAAGCTATGAAGCTAAAAGGCAGTCTTGAGACGAACACAAAATAAGTACTATCCATTTATTTCAAAATATAATGCACTCCATTGTTCTTTCAATAACTCTTGACAGAAAATAGCTAGAGACCTGAGAGTTTTTGCCTGTGGCCATGTAAACTTTAAATTCTTTCGGTTCCCATCAAAAATCACTGTAAACTTCAGAAAATATTCAGCATTAGAGTCGAAGATTATAGACCATGACGAAAAACTAGAATGTGGTCCACTAGAGGACAACCGGATTTCCAGAGATCTCCGAAAAATCCTACGGGCCAAACATTTGCATGCGGGACTTGACGATCATTTTGCTAGATTGTCCGAGTAAAACTACACATTTGCTTAAAAGTTCGCTCATTTCGAATGAGAAATGAGTGAGTTATGCGGATTTGAACGTTATATGACTACAGGCAAAAACCGAGTCAGCAGAAGTTCCTTCGATCCGAAGATGAAATAATTAATGCCACGATGATCGGCATAGCTGATTACCTGTGTCTCGAGTGCTTTTGAGATTTTCAAATGTCCAGATTTGGAAATAGCATGGTCTGTGGAGAACGTCTCTAGTTCTCGGACCATAAGAGAAACCTGGGACTTGTCGAGAATTGTAGATCAACATCCAGGGTCGCCAGTCCACTATTTGGAATCGAAAATTCAAAACTTCTTCAATGGTGAGAAAGTTTCTGTAAAACGTTTTGAAGAGGCTTACCACCTGCAGGTAGTATACTAAATTTATTTCCCATAAACGGATAGTCCCAAGATTCTACTCTCTAAAAACTGAAAATCGCAGGTCTCTAGCTATTTTCTGTCAAGAGTTATTGAAAGAACAATGGAGTGCATTGTATTTTGAAATGAATAGTAATAAGTTTTGATGCTGTTAAATGCGTCTTAGTTGAAAACTATTTGAGCGTTAGCTAATTTGTTGATACTTTTCTAAAGGTTATCGGCCGACTTATAAGAATAAGTTGCGTTTTTTTAAATTTTGCTTCGCTACCGAGACAACTTGTTTTTTACAAATTAATGACAAAACTACGGAAATACGCTAGTATTTTGACATTCAAATTAATGTGATATTCAGAATCAGTATCAAAGACTGAGTCGAATTAGGTTACTAGAATTTCGACAATCGAAAATTTGTTACCTGAATTTCGACAATAAAAGTTATATAACCCGATCATCGTATTTTTTATTTTTGTGTAAGTTTTATTTTTTTGTTTGTTTGTTTGCTGCTGTCGATCAAAGAAAACAAACTTAGTCGTGTGCCATTCAGTTACTGGTTAGTAATTCTTTTCCTCGTGTTATTATTGTTAGAATCTAAAGCAACGGCCTTGATAATTCAAGATTGGTGTTGTAAAGCTCAGTAAAATAAACTTACGATGATCAATCCATTATTATTATTGGCAAAATTCTGATTGTAGAAATTCTAATTTACCATTAGGTTACTCACGGTTCTATCCGACCATTGGAAAAAAGTCGAGATTTTCACCAAAAAATGAAAACCATCTAAAGTTCTCAGGCAAACCTCATTCGCCTCAGTTTTTGATTTTGATTCTGAATATCACATTAATTTTGCAAAGAAATTGAAATTTGAAGATGAATGTCAAAATATGAGCGTATTTCACCAAACCAAATCTAAAAAAAACGCAAGTTCTTTTTTCAGAACTGAGATTTCAGCAATTAGGCTTTTGGTCTATCCGAGTATTTTGTCTTTTTCTTCCTTAAAAAAATTTTTTTTTAAAGATAAAACACATATATTCTTGATCAGCTCGATCCAACCATTTATGATAAAGCCAAAAATAAATTTTGTTGCATTTTTGAATTAGCGGCACCTTAATTCATCCATAGATACGAAACAACTAAAGGAAAATATGATCAAAGTGGTGTTGTATGTACGATTTTGTTGTACGATGACACTGATCAATCTGTGTAATTAAATTACATTAGTCTTTTTTGAATGTATACACGTGTATAGCTGGATGTATAGTATGAAAACTAACTCAGGTGTATAAAATCGTGTTCCTGTTAGCACAGTGGATGATATTTCGATCGATTCATTATTAATAAACTAGCTGATAAAACCTGAAAGTTCATAAACATGCGAATCGTCTCGAACAAATGAGAAATAGTCGAAATTATATTTAAATGAAACTTAAAAATAAACCTATTAATACTGAGTAATACTTTTATATAATTGTGATGATGCTATTAACCATGTATCCCTTCTTTTATTTCCGTTATAAATATCTCAAAAATAACACACATATAGAAAATGTTATTTTTTGCAGCTTAAAAGTATTTAAGAACAAAACATCTCTGTATTATATCTATAGCATACGCCATATAACTAACTAAATAAATTCAATATTCTTCAGCATCACCTCCACTTCCGTCCCCTGAATCGAGAGCGACTTCTTCATAATCCTAAGCAATAGAAAACATCATTTATTTGATAGTAAATAAATCTGTTCGTATAATATAATTTACTTACTTTTTCTAGTGCAGCTAAATCTTCACGTGCTTCACTAAATTCTCCTTCTTCCATGCCTTCGCCAACATACCAATGAACGAATGCTCGTTTAGCATACATCAAATCAAATTTATGATCAAGACGAGCCCATGCTTCGGCAATGGCTGTTGTATTTGATATCGTACAGACCGCTCGTGGGACTTTAGCCAAATCACCACCTGAATAAATAGTATAGCATGTTATATTTTAATATGATGTTCGTTCTTAATTAATGCGTGAAAATTGTCCATAGTTTCAGCTAGTTTACAGGAAAAAAAAGATACATTGTACCTGGTATAGCTACTGGAGGTTGATAATTAATACCAACTTTGAAACCTGTCTGACACCAGTCAACAAAATGAATTTTTGTTTTTATTTGTGCTATGGCTGCATGCGTATCTTTTGGAACAACGTCACCACGAAACAACAGACAACAGGCCATATATTTTCCATTACGAGGATCACATTTAACCATTTGATTTGTTGGTTCAAAACAAGCATTTGTTATATCTTGTACGGAAAATGACTCGTGGCCAGCTTTATCAGCTACAAGATAAAACGAGTACACTCGTAAATACAATAGAATGTGACAATAATACATACCACCAATTATAGGCGCATACGTAACAAGAGGAAAATGTACTCTTGGATAGGGTACAAGATTTGTTTGAAACTCTGTTAGATCAACATTCAATGCACCCGCAAAACGTAGAGATGCTGTTATTGAACTAACAACCTGTGCTATTAAACGATTCAAATTTGTATACGTAGGACGTTCAATATTCAGGTTTCGCCGACATAAATCATAAATAGCTTCATTATCAACCATAAATGCACAATCAGTATGTTCAAGTGTACAATGGGTAGTTAAAATAGAATTATACGGTTCAACAACGGCTGTTGATATCTAGAAGGAAAAGCGAAAAAAATACTTAATAAAACTCTTAAGATTCGAAATACTTGAGGTGCAGGATAAACTGCAAATTCCAATTTTGATTTTTTCCCATAATCAACGCTCAATCGTTCCATAAGAAGAGATGTGAATCCTGAGCCCGTACCTCCTAGAAGGTAAGCAACAAATTATTGTAGATTATAGATTTTCAATATATTTAAGCAATTAAACTCACCACCAAAAGAATGAAATACAAGAAATCCTTGAAGTCCGGTGCATTGTTCAGCTAGTTTTCGCATTTTATCTAATACACTATCAATAAGTTCTTTTCCTATTGTGTAATGTCCACGAGCATAATTATTAGCTATAATAAATTAGAATGTAAATTCATAGTCACATGATTTACTTGTTTTCCAAAACATTCAAACGTACCAGCATCTTCTTTTCCATTAATAAGTTGTTCGGGATGAAATAGTTGTTTGTACGGACTATGACGAATTTCGTCTGAACAATTAGTCTAATGTCTATCCACATTTTTTGCTCATATATATCGAAAATATCTGACAGAACTTACCAATCACCGTTGGTTCAAGATCGATAAAAAGTGCACGGGGTACATAACGTCCATTTCCTGTTTCATTAAAAAATGTACTAAACGACGTTTCACGAGAATCTGAGACGGATTCTAAATTAAACGAAAAGTATTTTTCGCATTTTTATTGCTTGATATCAAAGCACATACTTATTATATGAGTACTATCGCGATCTTTACTCAATGTACCATCAGGTTGTATTCCATGTTCCAAACAATACAATTCCCAACAAGCATTGCCAATCTGAACACCAGCTTGTCCCACGTGAATCGATATACATTCCCGCTAAGCAAAGACATGAATCTTTTTTTTTCAAAAATTTAAATTTAAGGTTTTTTTGATGTACGCTCATATTTTACATTTTTTGTCTCGTTGCCAGAGAATTCTGTAAAAAGGCTGTTCTGTTAAATCTATTCGGAAAAACAATTCGAAAACTTACCATTATGGTTAATATTTATGTTATGCTCTATTTTGGAAAGACCCTTTATATTCGTTATAAACAATCGACAGTTAAATGAGAAAACAAAACGCATTATTCAATACTCATTTATACCTGTATCTTATTTTTGTATTATTTCTGCTTCACTGACTGTAGAATAAATATCTCAACATTGAATACCGATAGTAATATAGAGCAAATTAAGTCGACTGAGTGAAACTCAATGAGGCTTATTCTGTTTTTCACCACAAAAAAAACCTTCTGTCTTCCCACACGCTTTTGTTTCTCGAGTCAACCACTCGTTTTCAGCTATTCCTATCCGTACAGATTTGAGGAAAAGGTGATTTGAAAGTAGAGGAGTTATAGATGACACAAAGTTTTCGGATATTTGCTCTAATTATTCTATAATTAGTGCCACAAAATGAGTATATTTTTTAGAACTCAATCGTTTTTCCTATGAGAGATAATTAATGTCCACGTGATCCACGGTCACGTGATCCACATGATATGCGGTAAAAGATAAAGGTAGGTGAATAAAATTTGAAACAGCTTTCCGATCTTCCCAAAGAGTAGTTGGCAGCTAGTTATTAAATGTACTCATAGGCTTTTCTACCCTATGCTAAAGATTTAGATTCCGGATATGAAAAGCCACGAAGCACCGCCAAGCTTTTGTGATAGACATAACCAATTTTCTCTACTCTCTCTAAAACTAATGTTGGATCTTGTCCAACCTATTAAACATCCTCAAAGCTTGGTCAGGCTTGGCGAAAGAGCTAGAAAAACTGCATATCCGCCCAGTCTGAACAAGCTTTGAGGATGTTTAATAGATTGGACAAGATCCAACATTAGTTTTAGATAGAGTAGAGAAAATTGGTTATGTCTATCACTAAAGCTTGGCGGTGTTTGGTAGTTTTTCATATACGGGATCTAAATCTTTAGCATAAGGTAGAAAAGCTTGGTGCATGCCCATAACACATCGATTTTACACACTTAATCATGTAAGCCTTATCCATTATGATACTAGCCAAAAAACGTTCCAAAGAATAGAACAATCATCCCCCATACTTTTTGCTCTGATTTTACGATTTACCTGCCCCCACTTCCCATGCTCCAAACGTCTTCGCGCCGCCACTGTCTGTGATCTGTCAAGCTAACCGATAAAAAACATTCTTTTTATTTATGATCCTCTTGTTTGTTAAACTAGAATCAGTAGAAATATTTTTTTTTTCCCGATATCACTTTTCACCAGAAATAAATATCTCTGCTTACTCGCAAAGTAATGGATAATCATAGAGACGGAAAACATGAGACATTAACATTGGGATCATAGCAGTGAATACTACAACATTAGAGTTTGTCTCTATAAATTTGGAAAAGATACACAATAGTCACAACTTCCTATTTATGATAATTATTTCCATTTAGAATGATTTATCGAGCAATGAGTCATATTATTCAAATTTGCTAATATTTAATAAACGGTTTTATCACCTCACTAACTGTGCCTTACGAACTGATGTATAATCTCTTCGTATAAACATTGTTTTGGACAACATCAAACCATCAGGAATTATACTTCTTTTCGATAAAATCCAGTTAAACGACTTATCTGAGAGAAATAATATTTAGTGTTTTCGCCACTCCAAGAATATTTTATCAAGCCAAAATTACTATTACGTCACACAGCTTTAGTCGTTCAACATAATTGTCTTTTTTGTGCGCTTTTCCAGAAGTATGATTAGTTTTATCATTTCTCTGCCCACATCATAGAGTTGCAATAGTCACCCAAAGTCTAGTTCGTTTAGTTCGGAAAGAAAACTTAATACTATGCTTAATTAACATGATCTGTAACTATCGGTGCTAAGTATTGTATGTGTTTTTTAGCAACAAAAACTGGAAAAAAAATTAATGATTTACCAGCTTCAGAGATGGTATGAAGTTTTAGGGTTAAACAAATTAATCCTCTATTTGTTTCATATCAATACCGAGATAATACTCCACGCATTATATAATAATTGGATTCACACGAAATGTTGTTCAATCGACGTGTATAGACATGTGTTTTTCCTTTCTTTTTTTTCTATAAATTTAGAATATATCTGAGTAACGCCAAAAGAAGACGATGAAAAAAATTATTGATATAAAAAAACATATGAAAAAAAAGATCCGTCATTTTCAGAAAAAAAACACAAACGCACAAATAAACAAGAAACGAAGCAATAACAACAATAGAATACAACAGTTTGCTTTTTTTTCCGTATACTAAAAACCAGTGAAAAATATTCTCTCATAAACCTTGAGGAGTCTTCTTTGTGTGTATCTGTCTCTCTCCATTTCTCAGCTCTCTCTCATCTTTAAAAAGAAATAGAACGTAAAGCATGCACAATAAAAAAAATAGTTTTAAAAAAAGGGTCTGTCTGTTGTGATCCATGGTCTGTTTCAAATGTAGTACGTCTTTACCATTAGATAAAAATCGCAGTTTTTCTGTTTATTTGTGTTTTTTGTTTGTTAACAAAAAAAACGATATGGTAGAGATATACAATAAAAAGAAGAAAACACATACATACACACATAACAAAGAAAGAACAGGAGAGCGATAATGACCAGATCTATATATATATATGGATACGCACAACAAAGCTCTTTCTCGATATAGAAGCTAAAAACTATATGTATTTACATATACACAGTTCACAATGATTATTTCGATCGTTGTTGTTGTTGTTATTGTTCAGAATTCACGATCTTCCAAATATTTGTATTCAAATACGAAATTATCACGTTTTCGAGTTTGCCATCGTTCATAATCGAAAAATATATACGTACCCTAAAAATACAGTAACCATATAGAGCAAACAGAAAGAACTTATGTATCTTATCGTCTCATTAAAGTATAGTATTGTTCTAGACGCCATTTAAATATTGACCAACCTGTTCATAATCGTCCGTGATTTTTGATGGTTCTTCATGTCTTTGAAACCAACACATATGCTTGGTATGAAAACGCCACGACTGTCTCTTCAAGGCTTTTGCAGCGAGATATTGTGCTCGTGTACCCTTTTAACAAAAAAAAAAGAGTACATTCTCTAAATAAATTATTTTGGTGCTCGTATATTTACCTCCATATAATAAAAGATGAAAAATAATGTATCTGGAGCAAGACGATAATAAAAATCTGCTGTATCACTACCAGCGGGTGGCTGTAATGGATAATACGGTATGACTTGTGACGCACCCAAAGGATTCCGAGCATATAAACGATTTGTACTCGTTCTAAACAAACAGAAAAATAACACTTACTTAATTGAGTATATTTTGAGTTGGAATTAACTATGATGGATAACTGAAAGATACCCAGCTGATTTGTCACTTCACAGAAGAGTGAACAAACAAGTGTCATAGAACTTACTCAAAAAAGACATCTTATCACTCTAACTTTCGCAACTTCTTTTGTTATCAACATAAAATAAACAACTTAGCCATTTACCTTTGTCGCTCGGCTTCTAATAGTGACGGTAATTTCTGATATGCCAAATTTAAACGATATAACATTTTCAATTCAGCTTGAGTCAATGGTGCACGGCCACTTGTTGTATGAGAGGATTGTTGTTGTTGCTGCTGTTGTTGCCCGGAAGACAATCCTAACGATGTTAATGTTGATTGCTGCTGGTCTCGTTGCTGTAGTTGTTGGGTCTGTTGTTGTTGTAATACATTTCCTCCTAATGATTGTGATGACGATGATGATGAAGGAAAATTTAAATATCTCAAGTTATCCGGATTAATTGGTGTGCCCATTACTAATTGACTAAGAACACTAGATCCCATTGTGCTACTATTATTTGTTATTTGCTGTTGTTGAGTTTGAATAAGAGACGATGGAGTAGTTGCTGAAACAGATGAAGAACCTAATTGATCTGAACTACTATAAAATGATTGTTGTTGCTGAGAAGTCGGAATAAATGTATTTAATGAATTTAATAGTGATTCTGTTGGGATAGACGAGGTAGATGATGTTGCCGACGGTTGATAGAGTAATGAATTTGTATCTTGTAAATTTGACAACGTTGAAAGATTAACGGAATGAGATGATGTTGGCACATGTTGTTGAATGGATAGTGTTGATGTTAGTGGATCTGTTATCGATGTATTATCAGCTAATCTTTGTGCTGTTGATCTAATTATATTTTGATCACTGTCCGATATGGTACGATTTAATAAAATAGATGATGGTGTTAGAATTGTCGGTGTTAAACAAGCTGTCGTATCTGTTGAATTAATTGTGCTGATGTTGTTATTGTTAGAAAACGATGAATTGCCGTAAATAGATGGAGTACTGGTTGGAACTGTTAATGGAGCTGAAGATGATAATGAACCCGATGTAGAAGACGGATTTAACAACGATAAATTATTCATAATGTGTTGATTCAACAAAGTTGATGAACCTGAAAAAAACATTAATATTCAACCATGAACATTTGCAGATGATGTACAAATGAACAAATAGGTGCTTTCCATGAAGCACAAGATAATGTTTCATACTATATCCCATGCATGTGCACGAAAACAAACAAAAGCGTCTTGTAATCTTTCAGATCTTCAAACTAACTGCAATCTTTACGACACAACGCGGTATCGTAGCTAGAAATTGTGGGAAGTCTCTTTCTTTAATTGACGGATCAATCTCTGAAGTCGTAAAAATCACAGATACTTTGAATGTATAGTTTTATATTGCCGCTGATTCTTGAAAGGTCATGGTATTACTTTAGTCGTTACGACTTTACAAAGCAAACAGACCGTTTCTTCGAAATTAGATTTTAAAAAAAATGCATTTCTTACTTCTTTCATTAGACAAAGATGATTGAGTGGATAAGGTCTGCGTTTGGGGGGGTGTAAGAGCTGCTGTCGTTGTGGTAGTAATAACTGGCGGCACATTTGATGCTGTAGTCACTGTTTGATCATTATTACTAGTCAATTTACCATTGTTTTGTTGAAGCTGTTGTTGATTCTGGAGTACTGCCATTGTAGAAGATGTTGATGGCGTTTTATTAGAACTTGACGGTGATAATATTTGTTGTTGTTTAGACGTACCGCTCGTATGATTCGTCATCGTTGAATTTGTTCCTGTATTTTGCGACACAATAGCGGAGTATTGAAGTATTGGTAAGTTAGATGTGTTTGCTGTTGTTGCTGATGGGGAATGATGGTGAAAATGATTCGTACTGCTATTAGTCATTGTTGCTGTGGTATTGTTGATCATAGAAGACAACGAAGAATTCGGATGAATATGACTAAATGATGACGGTGCACTTGTAGACAATGTCGGTACTGGTTTACTGGTGGATGTTGAATTCGAATTGATCAATGGTCCGTTTGTAGTACTAGTTGGTGACGACGTGATTGAATTCATTATATTAGATGATGGTTGACTGGAAGCTTTTGTAGAAAATAGAGTTGTTATTGTAGTATGGCTATTCTCGATATTATTTGGTGACGCTCCAGAATTTGATCTATAAAGAAAACTATTATCTCATAAATCAAAAGAATTTTTGAAATTCATGCAAAAAGTCACACTTACCGTAAACGTTGTGGATATTGTTGACTATAGTCTTCCGATTCAGACTTATTTCTTCTTCGATCTTCATTCAAGGATAGTGCTGGACTTGGACTAGGTGAATTTGACTGAGTTGAAGTTGGTGACGTCATATTTTTTGTTATTTCACTAGTTTCATTATTTGTTGAAGATGATGATGTATTATTCATTTCGCCAGGTGTTAATCCTGTTGCCTGTCCACCTGTTAGTAAATATCCTCCTGGTAATTGTGTTTGTAATGGTATCGCGGGCATCAAAGTACTCAAATCATCAAGATCAATTTCATCGTACATTTGTTCATTTTCTTTAAAATCAAGTTCTTGATTTGATTCAATATAATATTCTAAATCTTGACGAATGTGTTGAACAACTTTTGGATCTAATGCATCGTTATTAATTGCACGCAAAATTTTTTCTAAACTTTCAATATGATATTTATGTCTTTCAATGCTATTTTTCAATTCTTCTAAACGTTCTTGTTTCTAACAATAGAAAAAGAAAAATGGGAATAAAAAAGTTCACACAATACATCAACAACAATTTACATCTTTATCTGATTTTTTCTTTTTCAACTGCGCCGATAAACTTTCAATGTCAGATTCAAATTTGTCAATTTGTATTCGAATTTCATGGATGGATTCCTAGAATATAAAAAATAAACAAACAAAATTATAACTGATATAGTTTAATTACAAAACAAAACGTTTGTGTTTTGACTACTGACCGTTATCCATTGATTACACTCTTCTTTCTCTTTCACTTGTGGATCTAGTTTTTGTCCAGCTCCCAAACCTTCTTTACTATAAGCTTTTGTTTTTGTTTCACGTTCAACAACTTTAAAACGTTCCATTTGCTATTGATTATTATAAAAGATACCAAAAGACAAATCACACACAAATATCACCAAGATACGTCGTGTATCAGTTCTTTGATGTTGAAAAAAGCAAATGAACTAACCGAGAACTACAGCCAACTACCCACCCATCACTGTCTAGAATTATTTCTATATTGTTTGAACTAGCAGTGAGCGTACGAAAAGCAAACAAACTTTTTGTCTAGATTACATCCACATTAAAGATCACAAGCTGAACAGTGTCAATATATCCGATTCTCAGGTATGTTTTCTACGCAATTAAGATTGTATATCATAGATGAGCAATCAAATATTTGGGTTTACATACTTGTTCGATATTTTTTCTCGCTTCTTGTAATGCTTTCTTATCTTTGATTTCACTTGACGATATCCATGCTTTAATTTGATCTCGAAGCCTCTGGATAATAGAAGAAAGAAAAAACATAATTTGCTTTGTTCATCAATTGTATAAAACACTATTACATACCTGTAATTTTTTTATCTCTTTTTTTAATTCTTGTTCATATTTTTCTTTTTGATTATGATTTGGTGCCGAGTGTACCTTTGTAAAGTGAAAAACACCAATAAATTACTATGAAAAAAACAATAAACTGATGATCTTGTTTACTTTTTGCCAAATATCTTCGAAAGTTTCAACACCTTCCGCTACTTTCTTCAGACAACGGTCTATTTCACCTGCACACACGAAACAAAAAAATATATGTACACTTTAGAAGTACAATAACGGCGTGTATGACAAAGCTTACGAATCTACCTTGAAGTTTTCTCCTATCACCCATATATTTGTATAATTAAAAAAGATAATAATTTAACACATATAAGAAAAAAACGAATACTCGTGTATTGACGAGTTTAAAAAAAATGAAGTGAATATAATCAGTTTGAATATTCTCTAGAAATGAGTAAAATGTAATCGTGATATAAACCCAATAAGTTCGCCAAACGTCGCACAAACATATTGCTATTTTTTGTTCACGCTTCACACACAGAGAGAAGTGGAGCAGCGTGACCTAAATTATCGAAGCTAAATCACGTTGGTTACAGGTAAAAAATAGTATAGAAAATCTTTTAGAATTCCTTCGAACGAAAACGTACTAATAAAATTTGTTCTCCGTTTATTTGATTATTTCTCTATCAATTCCCACTGTCTCTTTCATGAACGAGAAGAAAAACTTGACAATAATGGTCAGCATGCGCTAGACGTAAGTCGCTAGTATCAGTGTCAATTAACGTTGATTGTATCACCGTATTTATATAGTTTTCACGCCTTGCGTACAGTAACCTGACTGAAAAGAATAACAACGATGCATTAATTAGTTATTCATGAATCATATGAAGTGAGTATACAGCCAACTAAAAGCTGTTCGAAGAAACGGAATAAATCAATGGAAATCATTAACGCTTATGCAGTAAGTGAAATGTCGCTCACATACAGAAAGTATAAACAAATGTATTTTATCTTTTATCTTACAGGAGACTTGGAAAAAAGTAAGAATGTTTCATTCTCTGTACTTCGTTTAAAATGGTCGTCACACATTCGAAAAGAAGCTATTATGCTACGAAAAACATTAGACATTACTGATCAAAAGAAGTATATTTAATATAATTGAATAACATTTTTTGTAAAATCATTTTACGAAAATATTATTCAATTATATTAAATATACTTAGTTTTACAAAATACACTAAAAAGTCAACGAATGTCAATATACTAATGAAACTATTCGGGATTTTGCTACCTAAATTAATAAGAACTACTGTCTTATTGTGTCAGAGCAATCATACAATATTGTTCACCTGCAGTTAATAGTGGTTACAGGAGACCTTGAACTATTGAGTTCAACGATTGACTATACGTATAGGATAGATTAATTATTTACAAACATTACAAGATTAAAATATTTTAGGGAACACTGTACTACTAACAGCTGGGTTTCGCTTGACTGAACAGTCTAGCCAACATTATTCTTCTCGTAGAAATTTGATAGAATTAAAAAAGTTCCCACATATAAATTTTTTGTTTTAACTGAGACGTTTTTGCTATATCAAAGTTAAGAAAAAAATAAAGTTCATTTAGAGTTGCAGAAGAGTGCTTTCTTGTATTTAGCACACTCGATAATCCAGCAGATTTTCTATTTTTGGTGAGAGGTACTGCCAAAAGGTTTAAGAAAAATGTTCAAATTATTATGATTTTCGCCATTTTGTTCTTAAATTGTTCTTAAACTACAGGTGGTAATAAATTAAATACAAAAAAGTACTTTTCCGCAACTCTAAATGAACTTTATTTTTCTGTCGGTGAATGTAAGAATCATTGAAGAATGAAATGCGTTGACTGGTGTTGTTATAGGATGTCCCGTTCTCAAACGGGTTACTGTTATGTGTCAGATGGAAATAATAGTAGCTGTTAGTATGCTGTATATTTTTCTTATTATCTACGTATGTCACTATTTATTTTATTGTTTTTCTTTGAATGGTTGACATGTCAAGAGGCATTTGAAAAAAAATACTTTTGCACTAATACATTGTGAGATTTTTGTGAGACTTTTGCACTGCTCACTGATGAGATAAATCCGGGTGTGATTCTGGTAACGATCCTAACTTCAAAGTTCTTTCAAAAATATCCATATATGTATCCGCAAGCGATTTTCTAGAAATTCAAAGTTGATTTCCCATCGACTTTTGAAACAAGTGAAGATATATTGTTATTACCAGTTTATAAGATATAACAGAAGGGTCAATCTGCAAATAACAGTATACCTTCACTTATAAGTTTCTGATAGAAATCTTACAACAGAAGATTCAAGCGAGAAGCAGGATGTAGCACCTCGTACTCACGAGGGAACCTTCCCGAGTGTCTAATCGTTTCTTCCTTAAAACATACACCACGACCCACCCCAGAAAGGCCTAGTAGCAGAAACGGATATCAGGTTCGTGATCAGTATCAAAGATTACCCACAATGGTGTATGTTTTAAGGAAAAAGCGATTAGATACTTGGGAAGGTTCCCTCGTTAGGATACTGCAATATGAAAGGCACCATTTTTACGACTTTTATTTTTTCTATTCCAGTTTTGTAACATGTTCGTTATACATGTTTCAGTATCTAAACTCTTGTTACCAAATCCGGCGTTGGTCTAGTTCATTCTATCATCAGAATTTGAGTTAGTCAGTTAGATCTTGGTTTAGTCTAATATTGCTCCGATCAACGAAAACTAACATTTAATTAATTATGCATTGACTAGTAACTGTATAACGAAAAAAACACGACTCTTAATCAACTAAAAACTGTCCGCCAACGGTTAATATTTTTTAGCCTTTATTTGACCGTGAATTACGGCCTACAAACGTGACATTTAACCGTGTGTGTATGCACTTGAAACTAAAATTCATATTCTCTTAATAGACAGCTTGAACAGTCACTATATCACAAAAAACCTGGTATTTAATGCTGGCACTTAAATGTCAGTGTTTAATCATTTGTCAATAAAACATTCACTCTTTTGTTTCGCTATTAAGACTGATGTAAATATGACGTTGATTCTTTTGACAACGTAGAATATTTCTCCTCTTCAATTACATGAGGCATCGAAACTTATCTCGAGGAGGAAGTTGCCTCTAGTTCAGGGGCTGATGGTAGTGCTATGGTTCTAAGAGACCAAAAATATTGAAATTTGTGAATTCAGTCTTTGTGACGTTACGTGCCAGAAACGCTGACTCCAGAAAACATTCGAAAAATCGGTTGTTAACAGTTTATAATGGTGCAATAACCGTTTCAAAACAGACATCATAAAATGTCCATTTTTTGATCTTAATAAGGCTGCCACTTTTAAGCATTAAAACATTTCCATTTTAAATACCCAAAAATGGTCGGTCAAAAACTTGTCACAGTAGTCTGTTTAGTAGACGACAGCATTACTTTTAAGTATTGCTGTTGTCGATTCAAATTAACAAGAGTCGAGTTTACAATTAATAATAACAGCAAGAAAACTTAAATAACTCAGCTCTATTCAGAGGATTGAGGAGTAATAATTATAGCATCAGAACGTATTCAGTAAAATACTTTACCTCTTCTAAAATTGTGAAACTTTAGAAACGCTTCACTCTGCTTCAATAAACGGACATTTTATTGATAACTACCCATTGGAACTTTTGGAATTAATTCGAACTAAATTAATATGAGACTTTTAAATTAGTTCGAATTAATTCTAAAAGTTCCAATGGGTAAGGCAAACGAGATCTTAGACGACTTTATACAAAAAAGCTTTAGAATCAAGTTAAGTTTGTAGACTAAATAATTGCTATAAAAAAACAGTCTTAAAGTCGTTATTTGTTAATGATTTTTTATTAACCTAATAATTTTATAAATTCATTAATTATTCAAACCTTTTTTAATCTGTTTAAAGCAAAATACTTTTCCATATTCTTATATATATAGAATATGGAAAAGTATAGGAAAATGTGAGGATCGAAAAACGCAGGAAGATAATATATAAGAAAGATGCCTAACATAAGGCTAAGACTAGTTTATTCACGAAAAGTGAGAGTCATGAAAGGTCCTCAACTTGTAATATCAATGACTTGAGCCAAATTACAAAATGAAATAGGCAAAAAGAAAAAGAAAAGAAATAACAGAAATAATTAAAAGAAAAAGTATCCAACGATGAAATAAACACAAATAAACATTATGTATCGATATATCTGTGAAGCTTCAGCACTTACGAGACCGTGGTGCATGCATTCATTCTGAAAATGATAGAGAGTACTAATTTACAATGTGACATTCAACTAAAATAACAGTTTATGTTTTATATAGATCATCTGGCTGCTTCTTTCGTATGCAATAGATGTCATTTATTCACAGGTCGCTTTTTACTCTTAGATACTTTGTTCGCAGCATAAATGATTGAATACACTAATGGCGATTTCTCTCCTACCAGAATTGTGCAAAAAATAAGAAAGAAAAATAAATATATATAACTTGTCGCATTATTTTATTCTTATATTATATATTGACTTGTTTTCTCTATTTGTGGAAAAATAGAAACCTGTGAAAAGTGAATGCTGTGTACGTCACATCCGCAAAGATTTGTTGACATCTTTGAGATTTTTATGTGAATATTTTTAGTACAGGTACTGAACTATCTGTGCTAACTATATGCTACTGTTAATCAAACAATAGCTGAGAGTAGATACAATATATACGAAATATTCTCCGCGAGACTACTGAGCTTCCTTGTTTAGGCGGACAAATATATGACTGTACAGTCAGGGAAACATCATGTTAAACAACTCTTCAACTATTCAGTGCTTCATCGCATTAGGAGAAGAGTTGTTAGGTATATTTACTTCTGAATAAATAGCTTAAACTAAATATATTATTCATGTTTACTTAATTATAAAATATCCTCTTACTGGAGAGTATCATTATATTTTTTGCCGTTATCACATCCTTTTTCCTTTTTGTAGATAATATAATATATCGAAATAAATTTTGTTAACTAACTCTTCACTGTTTCATTTCTCTCTATCATCCGTCCATGTACGTTTCACACATGTTTTCTTTTCAAAGGTTAATAGTTAAAAATCCGTGTATCGTTCTACTGTAATTCTGAATTTTTTTGTTTAGAAATTAATGCATATGTCTAACCGACCAAATGCCAATAGTAATCGTGGTTCGTACGGTACACGCTGGGGCTCTCGATCATATAGACGAGGTGGCTATGAAGAAAACTATCACCAAGGATCGGCGGATTATGGGTATTCTCAGTCATATGAAAACTATGATAATTCCAATTATGAACAACAACAGCAATCGTCCAAGCGTTATTCCGTTAATCGCAATAAACAACAGTCAAATCTAACTGATAATTCATATGACGGTCACAATTCACAGCGTCAGCAACAGCAGCAATCTTATCGCTCTGAAGCATCGACAAAAGTTTCAAATGAACAGTATAATACTCAAAAATCATCAAATTTACAAGTACCAATGAAGAAACCATCTAATGGATCAACTAAATCACAAACTACGAATGATCAATTATCCAAAAAACAAACTGGTAAAGAACAATCAAAAAAAATAACGTCGACATCGGAAGTGAAAACAGTATTAGAAAGTACCTCAAATGCATTACCAGTAAACGAACAATTAAATGAATCAAAAACTGGTACGTTTCTTTTAATTTCATGAGAAAAGGGCATAATTTTCCTAAAATGTCTTTAAGTTATATTGAAGATGATTCAATCGATAAATTACTATTCCAAATTTCCTTTCTGGATTTAGAAAGCTTTTTTCTTTGTTTTAGAATTAATCAACTCACAACCGGTGAAAACTAAACAGGATAATGACACTCAACCAAAACTGGAAACATCGATGTCTATTTCGAACGCGGAAGAAACTCCGACTACAGATATTGGAGAAACAACAACGACGTTAGAATCTATTCCACAGAAAGAACCAAGTGAAAATATTGATAATATTCGTCAACAGGTTCAGACTTATACTAGTGAACGTGTAGAACGTATGAAATATCGCAAAGAATTGCGTGAACAAAATATTCTTGCTGAACAAACACGTAAAAATGTTGAACAACAAGAAGAAATGATGGCACGTTTAGATTCCAGTATAAAAAAGATTCCACCGTTTATCAAACGTTTACGAACATTAACAGAACAACAAAAAGACGCATTACGTAAAGATATGCAACAGTTAAATTTGACACGTTATATAAGTGAAGTAGCCAATTCGATAACGGAAGCAAAATTAAAAATGAACGATGTTTATACAGCTGTACTATTATGTTCATTATTACATCAGCGTTATCCAGATTTTTCTATGACATTATACGAAAATTGGTTAAAAGTATTACAACCACAAACTATAATTGAATCAATATCAACATCATATCAGCAAGAACCAAAACCATCGTTAAATTTATCAAAATTACGTGTCGATTTAAGATTCTTCGCTGAATTAATAACTGTTCATGTTTTACCTCAGACATTGTCATATAATTATTTACTTTCATTACTCCAAGCTCTAATTAACAATGATAAAGAGTTTTCGAACATAACAATTATCACAAGTTTTTGTAAAATGTGTGGGGAAGATTTTGCTGATATCGTATCATTGAAAATGAAAGGATATGTTGATAAATTAAATGATATTGATAAAAGTCAAGAACAGCAACAAACACTAATCCCAACAAGTGATCATTATTCGAATGAAAAAAAACACTATATTCGACAGTTATTTAAAGATTATTATAATCATTTATGTGATCATGTTAAACAAGAACATAAACAAATACAAAAGATGGAACGACAAATGAAACGTATGATGGAAGTAAGTTGTAAACTCTTGTTCGTTTCGTATAGACGTTTGAGCCGATGATGAATTAAAGGCGAATAAGAAGATTAAATATCGTTTATACTGAATGATTCCATTTGTTATCCTTTTCTCACAATAAGTCATATGTGTCAGAAAAGTGTGTACCATTCAATATTAACATTTTTTTTATTCTCTTGATTAAAAATATAAACAATTCTGAGGCTTATGACGTTTATGTATTTTTGCTAATGAATCAGTTATATTATGATCTTCTAGTTTCACCTTTTTTTGTTCTATATAGAGTCGTGGTGAATTGAATCAGGAAACACGTGATAAACATGAACAAGCTTTGATATCATTTCAAAAACTTTTACAAAACACTGAAACATTAGCTGATCTTTTAGAAGAAGCAATGCCAGAATTGCCTATTGAAGGTTAGTGTGTGTTCAGTCTCACAAAAATATATACAAACCGTGGTTTTTTTTCTAGAAATTTCCAAAAAGTCGAGTGAACGATCGGGCATTGATATGTATATACCAGGCAGAAACGATGATGTAAGAATTTATTTGTGCATCGAATAAGAGCTATTTTAGACGTACTTATGTCAATCGTTTAGGATAATATAAATTCAATATGGGAAGATAGTGAAACAAAACAATTTTATGAAAATTTTCCGGATTTAAAATTATTCGTACCGGGTTTCTATCGTGATACAACAACATCGACGAGTACGAGTGCAAACGTAACAAGTACACCATCCAACGATTCCAATGGCACGCCTACTACTACTACTACAACAACTGAAGGTATAAAAAAAGAACCTTTTTTTTGATTTTCTTCATAATAATGTAATTTTTGGGATTAAGATGGTGAAATACTGGATTCTATACAAATCGAAAATGAAATTGAAAATGTAGTGTTAGAAGTGGCAGCAGCAGATGCCGATGTAGAAGAGGAAGATGCTGTTCTTGCTGACGATGGTAAATATTATAATACAAAAAGTTTTTTATTTCATAACGATACATTTTCAAATTTAAATTGTAGATCCTGTCGATGAAGATCTTAGTAGTACAAATATGAAATTAATGATGGATGTTTTTGTTAATCATTTACCAACGTGTGTCAATAGAGAATTGATGGATAAAGTAAGTGTTGAATCTGGTCTAAACGTTGATATATGTATTTTTGTATACGACCTTAGAGAAAAGCATATAAAACTGAAATTTCTCGATTCGACATTGATATATCATGTACAGGATTTACTTTATCTGTTATTTGTTTATTTTTAGGCAGCTCGTGATTTTGGAACAAATTTGAATACAAAACAAAATCGTAAACGTCTTATAAAAGCGTTATTTCAAGTTCAACGTACTCGTTTAGATTTATTACCATTTTATGGCCGTCTAATAGCTTCATTAAATCCAATAATGCCAGAAATTGGAACAGAGATGATACGTTTATTAAAAAATGAATTTCGACAACATATACGGAAAAAGGATCAAATCTATATTGAATCAAAAATAAAAACTGTTCGATATATTGGTGAATTAGTTAAATTTAGCATATTTCCCACATCAGAAGCAACATTATGTCTGAAAACATTATTAGGTGATTTTCGTCATCATAATATTGAAATGTGTTGTAATTTATTAGAAACATGTGGAAGATATTTGTATCGTGGTCCAGATACACATAGAAAAACAGAAATCATTCTTGTATGTTTACTGAAGTATTTTAAAAAGAAATTCTCTTTTTTATCATTTTATACTTACATTTTTTAGGAGATATTAATGCGAAAGAAAGCTGTTCTGACGTTGGATAATCGGTACACAACGATGATTGAAAATGCCTATTATTATTGTAATCCACCAGAAAATCGAGAAATCGAAAAGAAAATACGACCACCATTACACGAATATTTAAGACGGCTATTATTTAGAGATTTGAATAAAATAACAATTGAGAAAGAAAGTTGATTGTCAGATGTAGTAGTATTTTTAAATAATTATTCATTTTTTCGTTGTTAGGTATTACGACAATTGAGAAAATTTGATTGGTTCGAGCAAACGTTTCGTGATTATGCAATCAAATGTTTAACAGCGCCACATTACGTTAAATATAATTCAATTCATTGTTTAGCATCGGTTTTAGCTGGTCTTGCTCATTTCTATGTGAGTTGAGTATTGTCATATTTTTCAGAGCTTTCGTAAAAATCACTTTAACATTTTAAACAAACGCTTACTAAAGCTGGAAAGCATCTCAGTTTGAAGAAAATACTTTCAACTATCTTGATTCCGTTATTTTTTCTCTTTTCTCTAAAGAGCTGAAAAAGTAAAAAATTGTCTGGATACTTGAGCAATATATAATTAGGGATAGAAACATTTTTGAGAATCGGGATGATTTCATTTTGAAAAGATAAAGGGAACTTTAACGTGTAAAAAAACTAATGATCGATCAAAGTTGAAGATCATATTACATGATACGTTTTCAATGAAGTGTGAAACTGCTAGACTTTTGTATCTCGTTTTCTTTGTTCTAGGATGATGTCGCATTCGAAGTTTTAGATAATGTATTAGATGATATTCGTTCTTGCCTTGAAGTGAGTTCTTAGTTGTTGTATGATTTGAATCGCGATCAGAACCAAATATTTATCACCGTACTTCAGATGTAATAACTATAATGCGTAAAAAAGGGGGGGGGGGGGCAAGGGGAATGGATGCGGGAGGGTGGCTGGGAGCCGATAAGGGTTTAAACGTTGCGGTTGGTTTTTTGGGGCGGATGCGCAGGTACGGGCGTTGGGGGGGGCNCCCCCCCCCCCCCCCCCCCCCCCCCCCCCCCCCCCCCCCCCCCCCCCCCCCCCCCCCCCCCCCCCCCCCCCCCCCCCCCCCCCCCCCCCCCCCCCCCCCCCCCCCCCCCAAGAGAAGAGAATGCGTCATGTTGCATGGAAACCTTAAGAGTTTTAACTCTTGCTGTTGTTTGTTAGCGACGATTCACACTTTCATCCATTTGTAGGTGAACATACCGAAATTTAATCAACGCCGTTTATGTATGGTGAAATATCTTGGTGAAATGTATAATTATCGTGTCGTTGATTCAATGATTATATTTCGCACATTGTACTTAACAATCACATTTGGAGTTGTTTTTGACAGTAAGATTCATCACTTTCACATTTACAAAGCACGAACAAAATTTGTCTGTTTAGATACTACTATAAGTGAATTTGATCCACCCGATCATTTGTTTCGTATTCGACTTGTTTGTACATTACTCGAAACATGTGGACAATATTTTGATCGGGGAACAAGCAAAAAGAAACTAGATTGTTTTCTACTTTATTTTCAGGTATGTGTTATGTTAATAAGGAGTGTCAATTTTGATATATCTCAAATTTATATTTTCTAGAGCTACTATTATTTCAAAAAAGAGTGTTCCCTTTGGAATGCATCCACCTATCCGTTTCCATTTGATGTTGAACATATATTTCGTGATACACTGACTACATTGAGACCAAAATTCGTATTAGCTGGAAGTTATGCAAAAGCTTGTGAAGAAGTTGAAGCGATGGAAAAAGAATTTTTGGCAATTTTAGGTTTCTATCAATAAATCAACTTGTTACGTTTATACTAGACTAAGTAATTCATCTTTCATTCTCTTTGTTCAGCTCAAAATGAAACAAAAACATCATCTAATATCGATACGAAAGATAATCTGCCGCCAATTACCGAAGAAGAGGAATCATCTGCGCCACCAAGATCGACATTACCAGATGAAGAAGAAGACGATGAAAATGATGAACGAACACCTCGTCGAATGGAGGATGAATATGAGGAAGAAGAAAATGACGATGAAGCCTTTAGTGTTCGTCGATCGCGTTTTAGTGGTAGCGGAGAACGAACGAGTGGTGGCAGTGTAAGTGATATCTTGAGGCAGTATTCAAACTTTTTACTTTTAAATGTGTTATAGGCTGGTGATTTGGAAAACGATCAAATGAATGCCGATGATGAACAAGAGGATGATGACGACGATAATAATTCTTTACAATTGAAAGCAAAGAAAATTACAAGTGAAGAAGATGATGATTTTGTCAAAGCTTTCGATACACTTATCGCTGAATCGGTTGCTGTAAGAGAAAGTGTTTTGTATACGCCTACTTTTCGTTAGTTTCAACTATTTTGTATTTCTAGCAACGAACCACAGAAGTAACCAAAGTACCGGCACCCGATATTGCTATACCCGTACACTTACGTAAAAATAAAGTATCATCAACCAACGTAAATGTGTCCAGTAAGTTCTGTTAGAGAGCCTTTTACAAATCATTTGGAATGCACACGTTAGCATAGCAGATGCTTTCGAAACATTGTGTGATATCCTACGTTTAAGTGAGGAGTTGCTAGCTAATATATTTATTTCTTCTATTCTTTTTAGACAGTGATGGCGACGATGAAAACGATCCGATGGTCAAAAATTCAACGACAACGAATTTCGTTGTTATGCTGAAAAAAAATAATAAACCGCATGTAAGCCTATTTTTTTGGCCTAAACTATTATATTATCTCTTCTTTTTTCATTAGTTCCATGATTTAGCTGTGCCAAACTCATCGGAAATGGCTCTACGTTTAAAAGCACGCGAAGAGGTATAAACAAGAAACAAAGAAGCTGAAAGAAGAATGATATACCAGTTTCTATTTTTAGGCTGATCGTCAAGAGAAAGCTCGATTAAAAATTTTAACATTGAATATGTCAACACGTATGGAGCAAGAGGTTGAACAACAAGGTAAACGGTTAAAGTGATAAGTATTAAATGAATTTTGATTATTGATATTTGTTGTAGAACTAATGGTCAATGTATTAAATCGTACTCCAGCTATGATTAATACAAATCGAGAACGACGGCCACGTTATGTTCATCAGAAAGGTGCTCCAGATGCTGATCTTATATTTGGACCGAAGTAAGTGCTCTGCGTCTATTGTGGAAACTGCTTTACAAGAAAAAATATTCTTCTTCAGAAAACGCTGAACAAATGACAAAATTTGTTGGACAAACTTAATTGAACAATGATCGATGCTTCAATTAGCATGTAAAATTAATATGAAAAACACGATAGAAATATATAAGATACAATATGAGACATGATGATTTAGAATACAAACAAGCAGTGAATTACGACAAATGATGAACGAAAAGAAAATTTAAATGTAAGAAATCAACAACACATTCATACATTAAACTTTTATATCTGCAAAAAAAAAAATAATACATAACGGAGATTGCTCTATTTCAAAAATGAACAATACATTGATGAATTAAAGCGTTTAGTTTTCGTTGCTCTTTCTCTTATACGTTTTTCACGTTACTCTTTTTCTAACAAACTACTAAACAATAAGGTACATGTTTGTCCTTTAATTTTTTTATCAGTTCATTTTGCTACAAAATATTTTACTTTTTGTTTCAATGATGAACTGGCTGTTCATAACTTGTATGATTATTTAACTGCTGAAAAATATCTTGACAGATAACTACAATAAGTTGCATTTTTCAGGCCAAGAAATATTTGGTAGTCTTTGTATATTTGCTCTTCTTGTTGATATTTCTATTCGTTGTTTTTCTTCTGTTTTTGTGTTTTCTTGTCTCGTATGTCAAGTTGTATTTTCTTTTGATACTGATACATTATTACTATTATTGTTCAAAAATCCTTTTATTTTACACTTCATTTTTTCCGTTATTTTCGGTTAAGACACTCCGAGGATACATCTGCTTTTAACAGTACTCGTATTGGACAACAGAAAAATGAATAAAAAATAAATGAGAGAATTAGTTTCTGAAGAACAATCAATAATAGACATCACATTTGTCATTTTTCATCGATATAAATTTCTCTTTCCTATAAATCACTTTCTTTTCGTTTGTTTGTCCAGTATTGTTCAGAAAGCTCCTTTCTCATTAGAAAGTGAATTTTACAATTCAACCTTTCTCACAGTGAAAATTCGACTTTCCATTTTTCGTTTATCTGGTAGCCTTTTTTTATCGTTTGGGTTCAGATACTATTTTAACACTTCAATGAAAGATTATTCAGTCACTGAATAGTTCGCGAATTTGTTTTGGAGACATGATGTACAATATTTTAGATGAAAACGCCATTGGAAGGATAATTTTGGTAATAAACGATTCAAATTCATCATTTGAAACGATTACGAATGTATGCAAGGCGAGTGCAAGATTCAAATGATGATGCATATACTAAATCATCATATTATTTAACGTGTTTCTGAAGATGTAGATGACAATGTGAACTATATCAAGACGCTCCACATTTATAGTATGGATGGATCATCAGCTTTCAAATTAAAAATAATTTACCTCAAAAGCGTAAGTTTTGGCCGAGCTACATGAGTTTTCCGAGAAGAGAGACAACAACGTTTTAAAAATGTGTTATTTTGGAAAACATGAAAAAAGTAAAATTTATTTTGTGCATTAGGATTTTGTTTTTAAAACTTTTGAATACCATAGGAAGCTACAACTTCTCAAGCTCTACAAAATGCCTCATTTGATTTTTTTGTATCTCAACATGAGAACACATAAAACCAAAAGAACTGAATTTTGTGCTAGAAAGTTGTTGATGTTCCATATTTTTAGTATTTCTTTAATAACCTTTTTACTTTCATATGAATAATACTCATTCACCTATGATTTTAATAATCTATTTTATCGCATTATGAAGATATTTTTCTTTTCAACGAAAGCAAAACAATACACTAAAAATTTTCCTGATTTTTCCATAAGTTAATTAACTAAAATAGCTTTAATTTAGAAGGCACCTTTCCTTTAATTTTTAACGAATGTAGAGTACTGGACTAGGATTATAAGATAGACTATTTTTCCGAAAAGAACACCATCTCGTTTTTGAGTTGTCTGGTTCACAATATGATTATTTGACAAAAACAAAGCACTTTTTTCTTACCGAAGAGAATATTCACTTAAACAAATTAAATGTTAATGGTAAAGTTCTGATAGAATTTCAACTAAGATGGCTTTCCGGCCTTCTCTTCGGGCTATGGTAGGTAGGCAAATCTTTCAAATCAACTGCTCGCTGGCGGAGCTAAATGAAAAAGCTAATCATTTGAGCAGAGTTCATGTATCATTATATGTAAAACGTTCTATTTAAATTTTAGTAGTTACTTAGTAGTAGTTACTTGTCTTGTTTACGCTAACTTCGAGTACACAAGTTACACATTATGCTCAGCTATTTTTCAGAAAAAGATCGCCTGAATTTGCAGGCAAAGTTTTATTGCAAGGCCCAGCTGTACGAGAAAGCGCATCATTTTGCCGAGAAAATAGTTTTCTATATTTCAACACTTGTTTGTGGGTCAGTTTTGCTTGATATATTTTCTATATTATTTTAAATACAGAATTTCTGTTTACAAACTGATTTATTATCTGAGATATATATATGTGTCAGTTCAACGTGTGCGTATCAGGTTATAAATTCTATAGATGGAACTGTTTGGTCGTTCGGTATTACTGTCTGCCCCATGGCAAAAACTTCGGATAATTAAACCGGTTAAACGAGCAAAACCTAAAATAACTTTTAAAATCGCTGGAGGATGGATGGAATCGCTGTAGTCCTAACAGTACATCATAAAAACTCAGTAGCTTTTTTGGATCAGAAAATATATCTAAGCCTATCTTACATAACCAGAAGTACGAGTTTGATTTAGCTCCATCTTACTATATTTACATCTTACACATATATTCTGACAGCAATGGTATTACTTCTTTTCTCAGCCTTTTCTTAAACCCTCTAACAGTTGGAATTTCTTATCTCATTTTCATGATAAAAGGACGTTTTCTTCTTTGAAAAAGAAACGTATTTGTACATAAGCAATAATATGAATAACAACACTGAACGCGATATAAGTTTTGAAGAATATGATCGAAAGAAACACAAAGGGTTGGAATCACCAATAATGGATCGTGATGAAACTGATAAACTTCTCCAGAGATCGTTGGTGAGTGACGGACTTATTAATGCTATTAAGGAAACATTGTTGTCAGTGGATTTTGCGGGTCAATTTTGTCAAGCTATCGTTACGTCAGAATCATTCATGCACGGGATCTCAGAGATAATTCATCAAAGAGTTGACATGCAAGTGAAAAATGTTAAAGAACAGTTGAAAGTACACGCGTCCAAAAAAGCGTCCACTAGAAAACGTCCACGAAAAGTATACTAAAAAAAGCATTGACAAAAATGAGGCCACAAAAATTCGTCCAAGCATAATATTTAAGTGCATACTGCATAGATGATTCGTTTCACTGCACTAGCTTATCTCAGAAATGACTGATTTCCTGCGATGGTGGATCGGTCCAGCAGATCAGGCGTGCTTCCAAAGTATAGTGCGTTCAAAACTGAGTAAAATATTATTTGGAAATCTTTTCAAATTTTGTTTTTTCATCTAACAAAAAAAACACGAAAAAATTCACCCAGAAAAAAAACCGTCTAACAAAAAAGCATACCAAGATGTGACGAAATAAGCGCCCGCTAAAAAGCGTCAACTTTTGGACGCTTTTTTTTACCCTGTAGCAAATGAGCGAATCGTCAAATTAATAAATAAGTTGAATGACATTGAACACCCTATAAAAAAAAAAGGATGCGGCATCCTAAAAAAAACAACTGGCAGGGGCCTGCGCACCCCTGCCGGCTTTTTTCGATTTGGCAGCGCTGCGCAGGGGTGCCATAACAAAAGAAATTTTGAATGCTGCGAAAGGCCTGCCGCATCATACTAAAATCCATTGCTCTAGGATGCCATAAGAATGCCGCATCATACTAAAATCTATTGTTCTAGGATGGCGTAAGAATGCCGCATCATAATGGAACCAGTTAGAATAACTTATGGATTCCATTGTGATGTGGCATCCTCACCACATCCTGTAGCAATGGAATTCGTTGTGATACAGTGTGCGATGCAAAATAAGCTTTTTCTAGGCACTCTTCCATAGAAATGCGTATCTAATCAGCATCTTTTCAGGCAGGGCAAAATTTCTGAAAATGGCAGCGGTGCGCATTTTTTTGGCATCTGTCCGACATTTTTCTGCAGGAATGCGCATCCACTTGGCATTTTCTTGGCAGGGATGCGCAGGGATGCTGGAAATGGCAGGGATGAGCATCCATTTGGCATTTTCTTGGCAGGGGTGCGCAGAGATGCCGAATCTGGCAGCCCTGCGCACCCCTGCTATTTTGGATTCTGTAATGTTTTTTTTTTTATAGGGCAATATAGCAAACGGCGAGATCTCATTATTACAGGAATTCCTATGAAACAAAGGGAAGATACAACGTTAATTATTGTAGATCTGGCTAAATCTCTTGGCGTGAAAATTGTCGTTAAAGACATCTACGCCACACATCGACTACCTGTTTGTCGTATAGATTCTACTCAACCAATAATCGTAAGTTTCGTACGTGCTGATGACCGTCAAGCGATGTATTCGAAACGTAAACAACTGAAACAGATGCAAAATTATAAGCAAGTGTTCATCAATGAGCACTTAACATCAATAAATAATGAAATCTATGTGTACGCACGGAAAAAATTGGATAAGTGACGCGTCTTTACTCGGACGAATGACACGAATGACTTCCCTTTATGATGAGCCCACAAAAACTACTGATCCTCTTTTTAATTTTTTGTGTAATTGTACTGATTTTTTTGGTTTCTCTTTGTGCTGTGGAAGTTGTGCTGTGAGTTAATGCGATGTATGTGGGGAGTCTTTTTCCTTCGATGCGATGGCGGTACATAATTTCTTAACAAAACATCAGCACGTGTCGGATTCGATTCTTCTACTCAACGCTAATAGTATAATGGGAAAACTAAATGAGAATTCAACAAGTCCTCTCTCTTCTCTGAAGTCTGACTTGCTTGTTAACATGATGAACACTTCTAGACCTATGGCAGTTGTAGTGACCGAGTCTTGGTTAGGTAGGATCACTGATAGCTCTATGTTGTTGGTAGGTAATTATCAGTCCCCGATACGTCGTGATCGCGTAGGAAAAGGTGGCGGAGGTTTATTGGTTTTTGTTCATAACAATATTATAACTAAATGCTGTGACAGTTTAGAGAATCCTGATTTTGAGACATTATTTTTAGAACTCTACTTGAACGGCGGGAGTTGTTAGTTGGGTGCGTGTTACAGGTCAGATTGGATAAAGTGCTTGAAATTTATTGAACATCTACCAGATGCTCTATATAAAATTCGATCCAATATATATCGACAATATGACTCAATCGTATTTACAGGTGATTTTAACTGTCACTCGTATAAATGGTGCGCAACAAGAAAATCAACAGTCGAAGGTGACGTGGTGTATGATTTTGCTCTTAATGAAGGTCTGGTTCAATTAGTTAGCGGACCAACGAGGTTAAAATCGAAATCATGCCTTGAGTTGATTTTGACGAATAATCTTGCTTCAGCGACAAATGTTTGCGTAAAGAGTCCATTATGTTCTTCATGCAACCATTCCATTGTTCAGTTTAATCTATTTTTCAATAATTACTACGTTTTTAGTAATTACTACGTTATAAGTATAAACGAAAAATTTATGATTATGCGCACACTGATTGGGATACTTTTCGTCAATGCTTGGAAGCAATGACTGGTATTCTCTTTTCGATCATCTTGTATCTATGGATGATAAAGTCTGCATCTAGACAGCAACAATACTAAAGATCATAGATGAATGTATTCTTCGCAAGATTGTAACTCTCTTCTTATGATACACCGTGCTTCACCGATAAACGACGAAAAGTCAATGCAAACAAACAGAAACTGTATCAGAAATATGCTAAAAGTCATGCCGCAACCGATCAGCAGTTATACTTGCCTGCAGCTTCTTTGTTCGAGAAAGAATATATCCATGCAAAACAGGCATACCATTCACGATTACAAATCGATGTGAAAAACTCATCGAAAAAGTGGTGGACAATAGTGAAATATGCTTTGGGAAAACAAACAGATTTTAGTTGCGTCATTACATGATGTGCGAACAAATAGTATGGTCAGCCATCCATGCGAAAAAACTGAAGGTTTAAATCGTTATTTTGCTGAAGTGTGCACGCCTTTAAATACTCAAGGACATATTCTTCCAACATTGCTCACTCCTAAGCAAATTGTACCCACTTTACTATCGATGTCAATGAAGTATATTATGCGTTGAAGAAAATAAACGTAATGAGGGCTGTTGTTCCTGGGATCAGTGGGCGGATGTTGAAGGAGGGTGCCTTTGAATTAGCACCTGTTCTGGCACGACTATTCAATCACTCACTGTCAATGAAGACATTTTCCTCACAGTGAAAGTTGCGTTTTGTTAAGTTTACCGCTATATTTAAGCAAGATGATATTCATCACCCGACAAACTATCGACCGATAATCCTCCTTTCAGCTGTTTCCAAAATATTCAAGCGCGTCATATCCAAGAGAGTGTTTACATTTCTTATTAAAGTACAAGAAATTAATCCGAATCAATCAGGTTTTCTACCATCTCACTCCACAATTGCACAGTTAGTTCAGATGGTTCTTGACATTGCTTCAGCTTTTAATGATAGGCACCTAGTTCTGGCGGCTTTCGTCGACTTTTTTACTGAAGCTAGCGAGTAAAGGTATTCGCGGATCCTTGCTTGGTTGGTTTCGCAGTTATTTGAATGAGAAGAATATTGTCACCATGGTAGAAGGCTTCACATCATCTAGTGCGCGTATCGGTTGTGGTGTACCACAAGGTTCGGTTCTAAGGCCACTTCTCTTTTTGTTGTTCATCGATGATCGGCCACAGACAATTGTAGGTCTGCATATGCAGCTTGTTTGCTGATGATGTCTCTCGCTACACCGTAGTTAAGACAAATCAATATGTTGGGAATATAAACAAAGACTTCGAGCGAGTTTATCAATAGTCAAAGGACTGGTTGCTGAACATAAATGTAGATGAAGATATTTACAGAGTTATTTTAAAATACATTCACGAGACAAAGCGATTTGACCGTGTCTGATGTTTTTTATTTTTAACATAAAGTCTTTCTTTTAAAACAACAGTTGGATGTCAGATAACGTGAGCTGACATTCTGAGTCAGTTTTCATTGTTATAGAAACGAAAAAAAAGAAGAAAAACAAGAAATCATATTTTGAGAAAAAAACCAAACAGAAAGAAGTTTATCGTTTATTAACACAGCGCAACAACGAAGGAAAATAAGGCTGTTTTCTTTTAAATTGTACAAACAGGGAAAGAAATCCAGATTGAAGGGTGAACTGATAATAAACTTAGCACCACAACAAGCTAAAAACAAATTCGAAGAGGTCATCGGTAGTCAATACAGTAGATTCGTCTATGCTGTAGAAATTATGGCTACCTCACTCAACCGGCAACATCCAAATGAATGCACGGTATGCAAAGAGTTGGGTAAAAAAGGACGTGTGTTTGCGATATGTCCTGGATGTTCAGAGATGTTTTGTAACGCACATCATTCGCAACATCGAGAAGCGATAGAAACAGAATTCGATCGACTCTTGGACCAACATGCACTTTTTCACCAAAGTTTAAATCAAACGCAAGACAAAGATCCCTATCAGCTGGTGCAAGAAATCGACGAATGGCAGAAGCAGATGATCAGTGCGATAACGAGAACAGCTACGAAAGTCAGACAAGAACTGATAGAGATATTGAACATGGAAAAAGAGGACATAAAGTGCAAATTCAAACTGATTACAACTACTTTACGTGAGCAAAAATCCAGCCACGATTACCATGAAACCGATGTCGCAGAATGGAAACAACAACTAACAGAATTAGAAAACCAACTGCAGCAGCTGCAAACATCTAAGAGCACTAAAATACGGCTGAATCTCAACACATCAATCGACTTCCCAAAACTAATCGAAATAAAAGTCATCGATCACGTCCGATCAGTTTCACCGACTCTGCATGGTACAGATCAACAATTGTTTACGGGTGGAACACTCTTGCACAACAAACAGCATCAATTGAAACTAAACGAGTTTTGCAGCAAACCGAACCAACGTTGGCACCTGATTTACAAGGGTACGAGAGACGGCTTTGCACCACGCGATTTCCATCAGACATGTGACGGCAAAGGTCCGACCATCACCATTATTCAGTCAGAAAAAGGCGATTATCTCTATGGCGCCTATACCGCTGTCCCTTGGAGTACACAAACTGGCACAATAACCGACTCCACGGCATTTCTTTTCACATTGATCAATCCACACGCGCTTCCATTCACCAAGTTTCATATTGATAAAACCCGAGCAAAACGAGCTATTCTCCATCACCCCGACTGCGGACCAGTATTTGGTCTTTATTATCCTTATGCTTATCCTCCTTATGCTTATCCTCCTCCTCTTGATTGCGTCAGTTCATTTACAATATCATACTTCTACTCCCACTTTCTCTTGGCCAGAAACACCCCTTCCTTCTCCTCGTTCCTACTACAAGCAAGCAAGTGGAGTCACATTTCTCCAATCACAATTAACGGCCTCCTATTTCCTCCTCCTGATGATCGTGCTCGTCCTGCTTATCGTTATGCGGATATTTGTGTTTTGGGGAGGGACAGAATTTTTATTAGTTTCCCGGATGTGTTTGTTGATGCGGTGGGACACGGAAGAAATACTTTTGGTGGTGATGGGAAGTTTACTTGTGACGATATTGAAGTTTATGGATTTGAATGAACTGTTATTGTAGTCGGAAATGACCCTGAATTCTTGGTGGAAAAGATTGCTTTGCGTTGAATGGTTTATGGCTGTGTATTTAGGAGTTTGTTTGTTTCAATGAACGTGCAGCAATGTCGATGCAAGGGGTAGGGTGAGCTGGAGGGTTAGGAAGAACTGAAGAGAAGACCTGTACGGGCATCAGTGAATAAGAAGTTTTACTTAGTTTTGGTGCATTTTGTTGCTGAAATTGGAAAGTCGAGAAATGGTGAACTCGGTAGTGCGAAGAAGACGAGTGGGTTTGTCGCTAGCACCAGATTTATACATGTCTCAACCGTGTGTCTATGGTGGACAGATCACCCTACACTGTAAAGTCGGAAATTATTTAGAGAAAATGTTTGACGATTTCAAAAAGTCTATATATGAAATCCTCACGGATTTTCCAGATTATAGAAAATCGAATTTCCAATAATGCGGAAAATAGACATCGATTTCCTACATTGTTGCAATTATTTATAGAAAATCCTCAGGGACTTTATATATGGATTTTTCGAAAATTAAAAGGTCGGATTATTTTCTACTTTCTACTTTCCTCCGCGATTTTCTAGAGGATGAGGAAGAACACTTTTAGTGAGAATGCTGATAGTCAGAGACCTGCAAAGTGATAATGGCTAAAGATAAACTTTTTCGCCGTTGTTAAAAGCTATTGAACTTCGAAGTTGAGTGGAGTGTATCAGCTTATTGGATGACAATATGGATCTTTTAATAACGAAAACCAAATTCGATATCGATCACGTGTTGAACGACTGTTATTTTACTTAAAAAATAATAAAATAAATATTAATTGTTAGAATATGTCTTTGAGTTAATAGAACCAACTACATTTTTGGAAGATGCTAAATTCAGACATAAAAATGAGGAATATTAGCAAGAACGAATCGCTTTGCGATCTTCAGAAAGTTGCGGTGGACTTTGTCTTAACCAGGCAACCCAAGAGCCTTTCCAGTACCTCTTTGTGATCTCCAAGTGTCATACAACAACAATAGTTCTCGAAGAATATGCTGATTTGCAAAAATTGATAGAACTTTCCGAATCTACTAACATTTCCGATGTTAAATACTAAAAGGAGCAGAGATCTGTTACAGGACAACTTGTTGCAATATAGGCTGTAAGAGCCGTTGCAGATAAGTGACGACCAAGTACTGCAGAAGCTGCTCAATCGATTTACTCCAAACTGGATTCCAATTACGTAGGTCAAAAGTACAATCAACAGTAAGTTTTTGGCCGCAAATCGCAGCTCTATAACCGAAGTAGTTATTGAGATATTCAAGTTTTAATAAAAGTTGCCATTTTTCTGATGGTGAATTAGGTTCAATTAGTGTTGAATTTTGAGTGTGCTATTTTCTAACGGCTTGACTTAGAGACAAGAAAATTTCAGTACGAACGCTAAAAACCGCAAGTCTC